ATTCAACACCATTTGTCTTCAAGACTTGATGTCCACACAAGGCTCATTTTTGAAGTTTTGTTCTTGCTGTAGACCTACAGAATATTTATTCAAAACCACAGCATATGCTTGTTCTGTTTCAAAGTAATTCATTCCACCAAGTCTGGTACTTAATTAAAGCAGGATTGCTTAATGAAAATCTATGGGGAGGAAAATAAAAAACAAAACAACAATAAAAAACCCTCAACAACAACAAAACAACACACACAGCTAGTGGGTAATTTGCCCCAAAAGAGCTTGCATTATTATGGCCCCTTAGCCTGATTAAGCCCAAAGTCTTTCTCTACTTCCTCTTGAAAGCACACACACACCATTCCTGTCCTTGCATAGGCCTAGTTATATGCACTAGATGAAAATTATTTATCATAGCAGTACAGTAGATGAAAAATACTTAGGGTATAATGCATCCCAGCCCCCTTTTTTTACCACATTTGTTATGCTAGAAAGGAGGCTCTGAGGCTGGAGGAATGGAGGCTGGGCATCCTGGTCTCAGCAGCAAATTAGGGCACAATCCAGAGCTTTGATGTTTTGAAAACATAAGCCTGTTGAACTGAGAGTAAGAAACAATAGGTGGACCAATACATGGATAAAAAAAGCTTCACCAACAGAGTGCTAATTAAAAATACATATATCAGAATCTTTTACATAGGATATTGCTCATGTGGGGATCTAAATCTCTCAAAAAGGACTGTCAGTAACTGTACAGATGATGCAGGACTCCACACTGCAAGTGTTGCTATAACATTGTCACTGGATCAGATGAGAGTCCCCATAAGGTAGCTCAGGTGGGATCTTATAGCTCTAGTAATCCTTCTAGGATTGTAAGTGTCATGCTAGGGCTTGCTAACAGGATGACTACTTAGCAAGTGCATGATCCTTTACTATTAGTTACTTTAAACTATCTACAAAGCATAGCCTATCTTAATCGTGCACAAAATACTATCTTACATTACCATTCCTGTAGTTACCATTCCTGCAAATGCAAGTACAGTTTCTACTGATTTAACATTCTTTTATCTATGCAGATTTCAGTCAACTCCTTCCTCTGCAGCAGGAACTGCCTGGGGGAAGCCCACAGAATCACTCAGTTTCTCCAGTCAGAGGGTTGGCTAATGCACTCCAACAGACTGATAGTGCTTATCCACTGGTCTCTGCCCAACAGGATCTGCCAGAAGTCCTGACCCAAATGGGAACCTAGCATATGGATAGCAGCAGGAACAATTAGGCAGGTGCTTTGTAAGAAATCAAAGTAGGAGTTCAGTCAAGTAATTTGTTGCAAGCAATTCACCATCTGTTTTATCCAAAGACAATCTGGGGAGTTCCCCTGACTAAGCATGCCAGGTATGCAAAAAGGCACAGCCCTTGCATTCACAGCCCTTGCACATCCCAGCTACATCACAACTGTTACTACGAGAAAAAAAAATCTTCCTTATATCACAATTATAAATTATTTTCCATGGGTTTTGCCACACCTACCTTCACAAAGAGTGCAACATGCTTGCATTACTTACCTTTAATACACTTTCTGCCTCAGAGGTCTAATTTTCATAACAGCAGTGACTGCCCCATTCATCAATTCTCTGCAGCGTTTCATTTCACTGAACACAAAACCTCTCTTCTCTTCTCTTCTCTTCTCTTCTCTTCTCTTCTCTTCTCTTCTCTTCTCTTCTCTTCTCTTCTCTTCTCTTCTCTTCTCTTCTCTTCTCTTCTCTTCTCTTCTCTTCTCTTCTCTTCTCTTCTCTTCTCTTCTCTTCTCTTCTCTGCCTTTTGTAATGGGGAGTTTGAGGACAAATAGGAAACATGAAGATGTCGCATTTCTACTTTTAGGGTTTTAGAAACCCTAAACCTAGGAATTAAATCATTTTCTCAATAGTTATTCTGCCCAAGTATTCACACCATTCAAAAATATCTTAAAGGGAGAGGGGAGAGATGGACCTGGAGTGGAGAATTATATGCCATGAGGCTATGACTAGTGTGGGCCAAAGGCTGATCTCTCAGCACAACCTGGGAGAGGAGAAGGTGGCACATGGCCACCCAGCCACTTTGCAACTGTGGGAGTAGCATATTTGCATAAAGTCCATCCAACAAAAAGTTAAAATTATTCTGAAAAAGCTGGTGATTTTACCCTCCCATTTATCTACCAAGCAAACACATTCAAAGTATTGCAAACAGTCTAGGTGTCATGTTTCAGAAGTTAGACACTCTGGACTGTCCAGTCTTTGTCTTGTGTTTTTCCTCATTCTTCTGTTTTCCAGGATGGAATGGTAAATTTGATACTTTTCCTGGGTCAAAAAGGTCACAGTTTCTAGATCAAAAATTCACTTTTCCCCATCTAAATTCAGATTTCAGAATGTTCTGTCATTTTCCAAAAAGTTTAGTAATTTCTTTTCTTCCTTAGCAAAAGATTTCAGATGAAGCAACATAACACTTCCATCAATATCAATTCTTTCTAAGGTATGTATAATGTACGCTTATACAGAATTGGCTGCAAAAAAAAAATCCAGTGTTTTTTTCAATACTGCGTATTGCCACTTTGTGTAGATGTAAAATATTTTTTTTTCTTTAAATGCCTTTTCTTTAGTGTAAACACTTCAATAAACTTGACACTGTTCTGATTTTTTGAAATCTATTTTTATATTGGAAAGAGCTTTTTACTTTCTAACTTTCCCCAAAGAATGCAGGACCACTAGCTGGTAATTTTTAAAGGAATGCTCCCCTTAAAGGAATGTCCCAAAGTCAGATTGTCCAGGAAAAGAGAAATGGAGTGTTGAATGCAAACTATGTTAGAATATATTTCTGTTGACTGTAATCTACAAAGAAGTATGGGGTCTGAACTTGAAGGTTCTTAGTGCTGGTTTTAAAAAGCAGTTCCTCAGATGTAAATGTTTCTATTACCAGTGGGTATAATTTTGTGCAACATGCATTACAAGGATAGTGCTGTTAATCTAATGTTGTATAACACCCTACAATTTAAGAATTCAGGTCTTCAATGCCATCTTTTATCTGTAGGAATCACGAGTTTGGAAAACAGATGTTCAATCTTGTTATCTGTTGAAACGGCAGGATGTGACAGTTCTTCAGACAGTTCTTGTAAATCCATATCTTCATTTAAGTATTTAAACTAACTAGAAATGGGAAAGAGTTTGCTATAAACCTAATATTTAGTAGACTGCATGCTGATCTTGACAAAAAGTGCCCATCAGTTCCCACCTTGTATTTAAGACACAGTGCTTTGTCTACAAGAACACTGCTTTCAGTATCCTGTGAGTCCGCTAATATAAAATATATTCCAGAGGAGGAAACTTTGCACTGAAATGATCAAGTCAGTTTTATTCTGGGATTCGTTCAATGGTAAAAAACAGTTACAGACAATTGAGTGTGTTGTCAGAAGAAGAGGAACAACAGCAGAAAGCACTTGTGCCTTGGTATAGATACTTCTGTAGAACTTTCTTCCAATCATGCAAGTGCAGAATAAAAATTCTAGGACTGAAGGGTCTGGATCTGAAAATGACTCAATGTCATGTTTCCTCCGGCATTTTCCCTCTGACAGTAAAAGCACTTCCAAAACTGGCAGGAAGATCGAATGCAGAAAGGAAGAGAGAAACAGCTGAGGTACACTGTAATCAGCAAGCAATTATACCAAACTTGTTAAAGATATTTGCAGCTATTTTTGCTGGCAGCTAGTGTGCAAACAGAGAGGCAATTAGTTACAGAAATTGCTGTATTCACAGAGTAAATACAAATAGGCACAAACATGATGATTTCAAAATCTGAGACATCAGAAAAAAATCTTAATTATATATTCCATTTTTCAGTGTTCAAAGTTATGCATTTCATAGTGAAGCACAGAAAAAAAAAAAAAGAAAAAAAGAAAAAAAAGTCCTCTTTTTAAGCAATACTTAGATTCAGAGATCATATACTGCAAGTGTATGATACACAATGTAATTAAAACACGATTAGATGATTCCTCAGAAAGATGCGTCACTTTATTTTTCAGACAACTGCTCTTTCCTAAAAATATATTTAGTCATGCTAGTCAATTGTGTCTTTATTCATAAAGCAGGACATCTTTTTTATTTTATTTTATTTTATTTTATTTTATTTTATTTATTTATTTATTTATTTTTCCACAAGAAAGAGAAAAACTCAACATTTTCAATCCCCATGTAGAAAGTTAGGAATTCAGGAACCTAATGATTATGTAAATATATGTTGCTGCATTTCAAAGAAACAATTTTTGTTTTTCTTAAATTTTTGTCAGAGATTAGTGTCAGTAAGAGCTCTACTATCTTCAGTCAACTTGTAGAGAATGAGCTGTTGAGAAGCCCATAGTGACTAAAAACATGTTTGGAAGACCCATCTAGCAGTTCTAAGAAAGGAACTTTTCCATACTGTAACTAACGATCCTGAAAACCAAACTTCAGTTAAAGGTGAGTTATGTCAGGTCAGATAACCAAATGACCCTGTGTCATAAGATTTTGTCATGCAAACTAAAAGTGCATAACAGATATTTGTTGAAAGTCCTGGAGTTGCTGCTTCTTTTCTCATGTTTTCTGTTGCTAGATGAAATACCTAACCACTATGAAAACACAGCCATGATAACATCAAAAAAAGTTGAAAATAGCTCTTAAAAAAAAAAAAAAAAAAAAAAGAGAGAGAGAGAGAGAGAGAGAGAAAGACAAAAACTGTGCTGACATCTCAAAGACTTGGGTGGAGAAAATTTTCCATTCACTTTTTGCTCCCCCAAGCAAACGAGGAAAGCCAGAAGTCATGTAAATACATATATTTGCTTTGGGGAATCACACAGAAAGATAACAGCTTTTGGGGGCATGCAGATATCCTCCCTTCTGATCCCAAGAAACTTTGAATTGAGTTTCTCACACAGGTCAGAAGGGGCAGTCCAAGGGAGTGAGAAGGTGGAGCTAGCAACCTGAGAGTCCCTCCAGTCAACCAGGCTTCGAGTGGCAGTCAGACACCTGGTGGATGGATTAACCGGATGGTGGCTGCTGTTGCCCTGTGCCACAAGTAGCTTTCAGCACACACCTTGAATTCTCTTGTCCATGCTAGGCACATGGAGCTGAAGGAGACCACCCGTGATCACACAGGAGTGCGCAATTTGGCCTTCCAGGTAAGCGTGGTTTCTTTTGCTTTGTGGGGAAGAGAAAAGACTTAAAAACAATGAACAAGGCTGACCTCGGTCCCTAAACAAAGATAGCGCAATTTCTGCTGTCTGCAGATAGTTTACAACACCTCATATGCTTTGTGCTGATATCCTGCCAAAGTACAATGTTCTTATACAAAAAGCCACAACTGACACATTCAGGAATAAGCTCATCTCACTCCCTTCATCTGCTATCTGGTATACTGGTATCTCTGAATAGTCTCCTGACTCAGTAATATTTGGTAAGCTGACAGGTCTCACAACTACACATCCTGTTTTCCTAGCTGTTGTATCAATTGCTGCTTTTTCCTGAGGATACTTAATTTACAGTTCTGTTGAAGACAAGATCAAAAATTATGCAGCAGACATACATCTCATCAAAGCAATATGTATTAATAACATGAGAAAAAAAAATACAATCAGAGTAGGGCATATCTTCTTTCTTCCACACATAAAATAAGTATAATTGCATGTTCCGCTCTGGAGAAGAACACAGAGAGGAGGTAAGGAGCCAACACAGAAGGTTCTTCATATTAAGTGCATGAGGGAATGTTAATGAATATTTAAACAATGCAGATTTCAAAAGCTGAAGCACCAAAAACCAACCAACCAAACAAAAACCTATTAACCAGTCAGTTATCGTTTCTCAGTGCTATTGGCACCCCTGCACTTTCAAAGGAATCAGAGTAGGAATAAACAACATAAATCCACAGCCAACCAGTTTGCGGTGCTTTGTTAGTGAAAGTAGGATGGGCAGGGGAGGGCCTGGTGCTCTGATGCATGCTCCAGTGGTAATGTATCCCTTAATGCCATCCTGCAGCCTTCAATCCTTATGCTGTCACAGAGCTCAGCTAACAGGAAGGACAGCACATAGTGGGTATGAATATCAGTCAACGCTATTCAAATAATACAGAAAAATGTTTGCAGAAGCTAAGCATGCAGAATATTTTGTAATGCCAATAAATATACAAGCGCTCTGTCCTAATAATTAAATATTCATTGGGCTATAGAGACACACATACAAGAGACTGATTTGATAATCTGCCAGCTGGGGAATATTTGCGGAATGTAAAGGAGCTAGGGTCAAGTCCCTACTCCAGTCAATAGTTAATAATTCACGCTAAGTGGGACAGCTTCAAGAGGAGACAGAGTGATAACTCTCTTAAAACATGATAGCCCAGTGGTTAGGGCATTCTCCTGGGTAATCACAGTGCCCTCATTGCATCTCTGATTCAGAGCAGGTATCCAAGCAATATGAACTTGTGTCTCTTTCAGTCCAAATGATTGAGTTAAGTGAGAACTTCATCCTGGCTTTGCTTGCACAAGAAACAGGTGCCTAGGTCAGCTTCCAAAATCTGTGCATACAGATTCACAGAGGAGAGAAGCATCCCCTCTAGCTGCAGAAGCTCAGTTCCAAATGCTCTTGAATAGCCCAAACTGGAAAATATCAAATTTCTCAGCAGTCTCTGTGCAGTACAGAACAGTGACTTGTTAATTCCCTGCCTTGGACAGCTGCTTCACCTGGGCAATGTGCAGAGACCCCAGGAGTTCCTTGCCCACTTGCAGCAGAGGTTTGCAAGAGCATGGACATCCCATCTGATTTAAGTAATCTAAATGTAAAATTACTGAGACTAGCCATTAATGAAATCTGGGACTTGAATTGGGTTTTCTGTTTTTGTTTTGTTTTGTTTTTTTCTTGGAATATTAGAAGTTAACATCTACATTTATGCTATTTCTGACTCAGCATATAAAACACTCTCTTGGCAATGTAAGCACAGAAGAAAATAGATAAGTTTCTGCATAAAGAAAAACAAAAGCAAGCAAGCAAACAGAAAAACCACTTCATGGTAGAAGCCACTGTGTAGAAGAAACACATCTATTTTTTTCCTATTTTCTTGTATTTGATTTTTTCTTTGACAAGCAGTACTTTTCTTCCTCTGTGATATAGTATTTTCTAGTATATATCTAGTATACTATCTTCAAAACCAAAAAGTGTTCTCAAATTCATTTAAGCCATTTTTAAGTACCAATGAGGGATTGCACTCCAAAAGTACCTTCAGATGTACCTGAGCTGTTTAATGATTAACTTGAAAAGTGACAGAAAAAATCAGGGACAAAGTAAACCCCAGTTAGGTAGTTTGTTTTATAAAGTAAATATGTTAAGAAAACAGCTCTTGATGTTATTACAAAGTAGTTAAATACTAACAAGTGCTGTTGAATGGATTATATTTGAGCTTTATTATGCCAAGAATGATTGGCCTTTTGCCTGATGATGTACAGGGACTCTTAATGGGATGAAGAGGTTGTTAACATAAAGTAACGTGTCTTTCAACTAGTCATGCAAATGTTTAAAGGGGATAACTATTTGAGCTCTTTTTAATTTTACATTGGCTATTGATATTTAAACATAAATCCTTTAATGTTATTGAATTTCCACTACATTATAGGAGTGTAAAACTTTTTCAACCAAATTATAGTAGACTTTAAAAATCACTTATCCAATGTTAACCTTCAGAGATGCATCCGTGTAGTGTAAAGTTCTACTAATGCCATCAGTTACATTTATTGTAATGTTTGATCCTGCAAAATATCAGCTAATACTTGGGAGACTCAGAAGCAACTTTCTTTTCTCATTCAAGTGAAAAAGTAAGTTGTGTTTTTGCAGTAGAGAACTAATTTTCTGTATTCGAAGATAGTTGTGTAGTCATAATAAGGAGAAATGCTAACTAGATAAGTGGACAATAGAAGGCTTCACTCTTCCAAAATAAAGTGGAAGCTTGAGAAAAAGAGGGTGAGCAGTGTGGGAACAGTAAAACAAAGACCACAGGTTCTCAGAACATAAGAAAAGGAAAAAAATAAAGGGGGGGGGGGGGGGGGGGGGGAGGGGAGGGAGAAATTAAAGGATTGAAAAAAAAATAATAAACATATATGCGTCAAGTAGTTTGTGAACCTGTAGTACTCAGCCAATGAGGAAACAGGGGAGGTGATCAGGTGTTGGGTAATAGGAAAACAGACAGCAAATCCCACATGTACAGCTGCACTGTATCTCTCTCTCTCACTGATTTTAGGGCTCAGTTACTAGCAGCCATTTGGGTGCATTACAATATGTAAGTTTTTTGTATTGATTTTAAGACACATAACTCTATCCACACCATCAGTCTGCCCAAACACTTCAAGGCAATGTACCCAGGACAAAACCCCAGTGCAAACATTAGGCCTACATGGAAAAGTTACCTGCTTTGGATGCAAACTTATAGCTCGAATAAACGCATTGCTGCATTGTTTAAACCATCAGATTCAGGTTTTTAATTGTTTTGTTCCCTTAAATATGTCATGCAATTTAAGGAACCTGAATCATCAACAGATACATTATCCTCATAGTCTCATCATTATCCGGAAGACTGTCCACGCTAAGTGTGCACACGTTAATGTAATATATTGCGTCTATATCTACAATAATGTCACAATGTACATAGATGCTACAGTGTCTCTTGCTTCCAATCTGATTCAGTTAACTTCTCTCTGAGGGTGCTGGCTGGAGGTTCACTGCAGCTTCCCACTGGATTTCCTGCTCACAAATCCAGCTACACTGACAGTAGTGCTAACACTCAGATGTTAGCATTTTCCTAGCTTGTGTTCAGCTTGCATTTAAGATGCAATGGTTTTACTTGTTTAATTCTGATGATTCAGATCTCTGCTAATAATGACATTAAACAAGAAGTCACACAACCCTCAAGGGATGAAAAGAGATGGCTCATAAAGGAGTGGTAATCGGAAGCAGTACCAAAAAAAAAATGCCCTGACTCAGGGAGGAACTGGGAGTTAGAAAATAAACTAAATACAATGCAAAGGGCAGATAACAGGTAGTAAATATTTATTGTTCACTAGCCTCTGACTGACAGTGTTATGATGCATTAAGCAGTTAGAACCAGTTTTTGTAGCCTAGCACACCATGCTGTTAAGGTGCTTACCTGAGGAAGGATCTCAGATATAACTCTGCCTTTTATGCATGCTGCATAAGGTGCTTCCCTAACCAATGCAGCTTTAATACTCCATTCCATTCAAACAATATATCTATAAAAATGACATTTATTTCTTGTAGCATTTATCAGTATTCTCCACAGTATCCTAGATACTTAAGTCTGGTTGCCTAACAAAGAGTATATGCGCTGTGAAGAATTTCCTATTTTATGGGCATCACTGTTATAATTTTCCTTGAAAATTATGAAGGCATTGCACTATATAACACCATCAGACACCATCAGGCAGGAAACTATGTGGTCCTTTCTCCCATTTTCCAAATTTGCTTTCCAAAAAAAAAAAAAAAAAAAAAGTGTTTTCATACTAAGACATACCACTCTGTCTCTTGTAAGAAATAGTAAAAGCCAATCATACCTCTATGTTTTTTTGTACTCAGGCTACGTAAATATTTTTAAGATTCTTGTCTGTGTCATCCTCTGTGTTCCTGCTTGCCACCAACAGATGTTTTGAATGCCACAACTACAGGGGTCATGTACACTTTGTTATCTTCCCTCTTTCAGTTATTCTGAATGTTGCTTTCTGGTCCTCATACACTTACTTGTTCTGTTTCTTTTGTACAGCCAGCTTATGCCAGTCTATCACTAAAACTTTTTTATCCTGCATTTCAAATACCATCCAACTGTCCTACTGGTAGGAGACAGACAACTTAAGCTTTTAAAGAAAACTCTAACATACTTAGGGGTTGGTGAACCTAATTTACAGCCCATTTCAAAATATTTCATGAAAATTTAGCCAGCTGAATGTAAATCTGGCACTACACATTTTTTATTTTATCTTTTATTTATCTTATCTCCTGTCTTTGTGATTTGTTTAACCTCACTTTAAGGCAAGGATAATGCCTTATTCATCATTCTGGGACAACACTTGGTCCTGCATGCTGAATTTCACAATCTGACAGAAAATTATGAAAACTATGATTATGGATC